TATATATATATATATAATTTTGTGCTAGTGTTTATATATTTATTTTTCTTTGGTAATGACTTTGGTTAAAAATATTGTCATCACTTAGTAGTTAAAAACGTCACCAATATAGTTCCACTAGAAGAAGTTCTTTATATCAAATTGGAAATATTGCCCACGAGCTTTTATTTTTCTCTCTACAAGTTATCCAATTGGAGTTCACTTTACACTGTGAGGCACAACCAGTAGCTATGAACTGCGAGAGCTGTTTACGTCTCAACGCTAAAGTAGACCTCAAGTCCACAGTTATGGCTGCTGCACCGTTCTTAGCACGTGACAAGAAGTTAGTAACGTGACACCACAACCACCGGCATTTTCTAACTTTTGATGACACCCTCGTAATTAGTATTTAATGTATATATAAATATATTTTCACTCTGTTTCTAATTCACAGCATAGTGTACTGAGGGAGATGAGTGAATGATTGGGCACAATCACGTTCTCCTTTCCTGCTCAATCACCGCATATGAAACTTTTTTTTGGTCGGGAATGACAATAGTTGACGAGGGTCTTTGGTAAGTTAACTGCTCACTGTATAGTCACCTGTGTAGGACACTCTCCAAGCTGACGATTGCACTGATGTTATACGCTGTAGAAGCCACCACACTACACCTCACTCAGATGGAGAACTCCTCCAATATTTCAGTCTCGTGCTCCACCTGGTGGTGGTGGAGGAGAAGCATTCGCACCTTGGCGGTGTTCTGAAGGATTTCTAAAAGTTAATTAAAAGATGCCTAGAAATTTCACTTTTTCTTAACCACTGTCGGACGGGATAATCGAATTGGGTAGATTGATCGACTTTAGACACACTGAAACCATTTGCAAAAAATTGTGTTGCATCTTTGATACCCAAAATTCTTCATTTTCTTGGACACTCGGAGTACTTCTTTGTCACGAAGAATAAGGAAGAATCTTAATTTTGATGGTGAGAAGCGTAAGTTTTTAGCGGTTATTTCTGGAAACTGTTGTTCGCATTTTTCTCTATAACTATTATCGAAATATTGTTAGTGGTACCATTCATAGACTGCGGCTGGGCGGAGGATCCATCTAATTGAGCATATTATGAGATACTAGACAGCTGTTATGAGGTCCTGTACAACTGCGGTGAGACCATCTACAGATATTAACGTCCAAACACTTCCTCAAATTCAACATCTGATGGTAGCAATGAATTACGATTATAATTCATTGATAAATAATATACCAGCGTTAGGCAAACGTGTCCAGTGAGTCGTGTGGGCTCAAGAGTCTGGCCTGAGAGAGGGAGCTTGGAACAAAACTCATTTCAGGTGCGTGATTTAGACTGCACTTTCTTGGTGACTAGTGGCCAGAAAGGTCCCCACGGCTCGCGGGTGAGGTGGCCCGCCTTCCCTAATCCTTTCTCCCCCTCGTCGTAGCGTTCCGTACACGCTGACACCCTCATCTCGACCCATCGCCGGTGCCTGGGAGGGATGATGACCTCGGACTGGATGCAACACCCCAGCCAAATCATGCAGTGAAGTTGTGGTTGTCATGCAGCCCTCGGGCATGTCGTGACCCATGTCCCTAGGGTCCACCATGGCCTGGGACATGTGGGCAGGGTAGGCGTGGTACGGGTGAGGGGCGAGGCTGGTGTAAACTACCGGTTCTTCACGACGTCTGAGGGTGGAGCCGAGGGTGCCACCAGACATCACCTCCACGTACTCAACATCCATCCCCTGAAACACACCAATGGGTTACTGAGCATCAGTAAATATTCGATTAGTACAAACACTTACCTGCTGGATCTCAGCAGCTTGAGTTATCATTATAATCACCCTATATGTACAGCTTAATACGTATAATCATTAACCTCTTAACCATAATCATTGATGAATCAAGCTATCCCATGCAATGGATTTCAAGTCCACCATAGAAATAAAGAAGTTATTTTCATGCAAACGGAAACATTCACCTTATTTAAATTGAATAACTAATATTTTTTCCCGTGGCACAAGGAGTCATGTTGATCACTGAACATGCAAGTACTTAGAACCATTACAACATCGGCATGGGTGTATAAATGTATCGAAAAATCAATGGAAGAATTTTCACATCACGAGCTGTCACCCACGTTATTTACAACTGCGAAGATTGTGTTACAGCAATTGATTATTGTAATCATGCAGGGCGTATGTGAGGTTGGTCATGATCCACTTGGACCAAACACTGGGATGGGTCACTGGAACCAGACACTAGAATGGGACAATGTGATGGGACATTACGACGAGACGCTAGAATGGGACGTTGGTAGGGGACACAGAAACAGTAAACGGTGAACTAAAATGGGACACTTAGAAGGGCCACTGGTATAAGGGGGAATTATCAGGGGAATGCGCTAAGCCATTACGACTATATAACACTGGGAAGGAGTCAGGATAACGATTTGGAAAGGGACGGGGGGATGGAATGGTGCCCAACCACTTGGACAGTCGGGGATTGAACGTCGACCTGCATGAAGCGAGACCGTCGCTCTACCGTCCACTCCAAGTTGTTGGGCAGGCCACTGGTATAACATGAGGCCTACATACACGAGCCACTAGTATAGGATGAGAAACATGCAGTTGGGAGTTCTAACCTAACCAGTAAACTGTGTTAAGTGAGTTCTCTTACAGGAAGTAATGTTGTGTACAGAGGTTTATATTTATATTCACTGTTTTTTAATAAACATTTAACCTTCAGTTAGAGCATATTAAATTCATGGATTTTTTTTAAATTTTGTTTTTGTTGTTGTTCTTGGTTTTGTAGAATTAATGTAGCGATTGATAATTATTGGCATTATTTAATATTTAAACCCACCTCGTAATTTTTTTAATACTAGAGAAAACAGGGATCCCATCCCAGCTGACCAACTGTCATGTAATGTTAGTAAACAAATTCGAGGGACAATTTGAAGGGAGCAATTATCAGGGCTCATAACTCCCATTCACAATTTCTTTGATGCTGTCCACACTATGTCAGTCATTGATTATTAAAAACTAGACAATCACTTTCAGTGTATGGAGGTAATTACGTTACTCAGCTTCGTTAGCTTACTTCTAAGGATTTTTATTAACCATGTTGGTCTCGTCTCTTCCGCAAGATTGATTCAGTTGTCAACTGCACAGAGTAGGATGTGGTGGGGTTGAGGATACGTGGAGTGGTTGTGGGGTGTAGTACAGTTGGTGGTTGTGGGGTGTAGTACAGTTGGTGGTTGTGGGGTGTAGTACAGTTGGTGGTTGTGGGAGTGTACCTAGTGTGGTGGCTGATGCTGGTGGCAGTGTGCTGAGTATGGTTCATGATACACCTAGTGCTTGTAGCTGTGTATATAGTGAGGTTGAGGGTGTTGTTGTTGGTGCTTGTGGAAGTGAATATAGTGTTGTTGGTGACACTGTTGGTGTTTGTGGTAGTGTATACAGTCAGGTTGTGGGTGTTGTTGGTGCTTGTGATAGTGTATATAGTGTTGTTGGTGGTACTCTTGGTACTTGTGGTAGTGTTGTGTATACAGTGACGTTAAGTGTGCTCTTGGTTCTTATTACAGTGTACAGAGTGTGGAAATGTATTGACATTATATCCTCTATTCTGGGGAAAAGGAACATCATGTACTATATACTATATATGTGGTCTCGTAGCAGCGTGAACTACACAATATGTGGGGGGCCCTAACACCAGCATATACAACAAGCTTTTTGGGATTTAGAAACACCATACACTACACATCTGGTGAAGACTAGCATAATAATCGAAGTGTGAGGTGTACAGCATTACCCAACCAGGCGTGTACTCATAATGAGGTGTAACAAGAAATGTACACCTTTAGAGATCAAGAACCATAGTACACTACACACCTTGTGGGGGTCAGGTAACGTCGTGGTGACCCCAGACACAGTGTTTCCCTGCAGGATCGCCACAGCCTCCACGCATCTTGGCACTCCTACTCCCCCCACACACTCCTCCACGCCCAGGTCCTCCTCACCTTTAGGAGAAAATTTTAATATTCCATAATCTGTGGTGGTCTGTGTGGTTATGGGAGGAGGGGGTCATAAAAGTTAATTAGAGCATGAAGGATGTTATAGATATTGTGAGGGTTGGGTTTCCTTTACCTTCTTCCAGCACTTCAACATAACCTTCCCGCTCCAGCAGTGACCGGGCTTTTGAAAGCGGTATTACGAGAAAAATGTAGAGAATTGTTGAGTTTAAATTTGCACATGGGAAACTGAACAGCAGCATTTCCTACTCCGATAACTTCACAACAACTAAATTTTTGTATGTTTTCACCAACCAACATCAATGTTCCACAACATTTTTTTGTTTTGAAGATTTATTTTGTTTTTGTATTTTTAAAGCAGCAATGTTGTTACAACTGAAAGTTTCTCCTACACCATTTCACAATCATCTGACAACGTTTTGGTACATTACAGTAAGGTTGAAGTCAATGGGTTGAAGATTGAGTAAAATGTCTTCATATTACTGTACTGCAAATTGTTTCTTACTAAACCTGACTCACCTTTATAGGGATAATCTTTGTTTGTATCTCTCTCATGTAACAGCTTCATATATATTTGTTCCCCCTGACATCGTTTAGTAGTCATCCAACCTGTCTAATAATAATTCGTTTTGACGGTGACAGGAAGCCTCTGAATATATATACTTTAGGCTTGTCTAGATACTCGCCAAGGTCGAACTACCGAACTTCCCAGGATGCAACCCCACAACAGTTGCCTACCTCCGGGATACCTATTTACTGCTAGTTAAACAGAGGCATTAGGTGAAAGGAAACGTTCCTAGTACTGGATTTCTCTATATATAATTTATATAAAATTATTCACTTGGGCTATGACAGCCTCGAATCACCGACCCCAAAAAGCGGGTAGACCGCAGCTCTGTCAACCAAACAACTGAACAGCCACAATAGCGGAGGGTCTCAGAGACATATAACTGAAGTCCAACTGAGACCTTAGCCAGAACAAAAAAGTCTCTGCACATCCTCTCAGTCACAACACACAAATATCACCCAACCTCTTCCCTTAAAAGTTTCGTTTTCCCACTGGAAATAGCACAGAGCTGACAAAAACAGGAAGGTAGGTCGGGAAGCATGCCAAGGTATTCCCCAGACATGGTAAACAGCTCTCAATGGCTTTGTTTGTAATTGTGACCAGGAAGGAAGGGAACAATTTGCAGTAAATGGTTGGTGCGTGTGCACGATTTTCAGCCAGTGAATGTGGTGCTGAAAGAGCAGTAGCGACCAGAGTACTGTAGTTGTTCGTGTACTCCAGGACCATTTAACAAGAAAGCAACTAAAACCACAAATTGACAAAAAAAGACAAAATAATGAAACTGGTGGTGTTAATCCCTTTGTCTGAACTGAACTTTTTGTTTCTTATTTAGCCAATCACTTGACATCATATTTCAGTGTATTTTGACCGTGGTTCTGTGTACCTTTATCATGGGTCCTGCGAGAAATATATAGGAAGAAGGAACTAACGATAATAAATATTTATTCCATGATTTAGACGGATATCCCTGACCCTTCATGCGTGCTTTTGACCCTTAACTGTGCTTCTGACCCCTCAACTGGGCTTTTAATCCCTTACCTGTGATTCTGACTCTCTCATTTGTGTTTCTGACCCCTGACCACTCACCTGCGTCCCTTGCACATTGTTAGTTTTCCTGGTCTTCGTTTGCTAATTTGACCTTTTAGGTTTTCTGCCTGATTGCACGATCGACCCCGTAATCGCTGACCTTTCTCTTTCGAACCTGACCCAAAATGTGCATTTGACCCCTTCATGCGCCCCTGATGCCTCCGGTGACCCTAACTCTCACTGGTCCCTTATTTCCACCCGTCACCACTCATTTGGACCATAATTCTCAGATCTGCTTTTCATAACACATCAAGGGGTTTAAGAACATCCTTTTTTTAAGGCATATTACACTAGATAAACTCCGCCCCTTACTCCACACAGGGACCATCTCCCACCCTCACTCGTGCACCGAAATAATCTCACCTTTAAACCTCGTACTCACCTGTTCCTCTGACCACGTCTGGGTTTCCTGACTTGGACAAGGTGTGTGTTTCCTCGCCTCTGCCGCCGCCCACATACACGTTGGTGAGGGTGGGGGGCGACTCGGTCTTCGGGGCGTGGTTCTGCGGGCGTGCTCTGTGGGCGTAGTGGGTGAGGACCAGCCCTGCCACCACCAGCACCAGCACAGCACCTACACCGCCCACTACGGCGCCCACAACAGGAGGCACGAACACTTCCTCCGGAGGGCCTAGGGGGGAATAAATGGAATGCTTCGAGCAGGGAATATAATAAAGGGTTTGTGTTTGGAACGTTTAGAGGAAAGTTGTGGCAAATTGTATTTTTTCGCGACTTCTCGCGCCCGCACGCACACACATACACACACACACACACACATACACACACACACACACACACACACACACACACACACACACACACACACACACACACACACACACACACTCTCTCTCTCTCTCTCTCTCTCTCTCTCTCTCTCTCTCTCTCTCTCTCTCTCTCTCTCTCTCTCTCTCTCTCTCTCTCTCTCTCTCTCTCTCTCTCTCTCTCTCACACACACACACACACATACACACACACACACACACACACACACACACACACACACACACACACACACACACACACACACACTCTCTCTCTCTCTCTCTCTCTCTCTCTCTCTCTCTCTCTCTCTCTCTCTCTCTCTCTCTCTCTCTCTCTCTCTCTCTCTCTCTCTCTCACACACACACACACACATGTTCAGTCTAGTATGGTCTATTCTTGTTTTTTCCAATAATAATATTATAATGAACTTCCTTGTACACAGAATCTGCCGGATGTTATACACACAGATTGAGGGTGTAGTGGGGAAAATAATTTTGATGGATATGTCTGTTTTGAAAATTAGACAATACATCTGAATGTTCTTTTAGTCGCTATGGACACTTTACAGGGCTATGGATCTTGGAAAATTCAACCCTCAAACTGTATGTGTTTTATGTTGAAGGTTATGACTGTCATCTGCCTCAACGCACACCATGCAACACCTCCAAAGACAAATACTCCCTAAACACCCCACTCCCACACATTCCCTCACACACCCCTACACACCGTCACACACCCTACACACCGTCACACACCCCTACACATCTTTACACACCCCTACACACCTTTACACACCACCACATACCCCCACAAACCCATACAAACCATAACACACCCCACCCACACCCCTACACACCCTTACATACTCGCACACACTCCTACACACCCCCCACATGCTCGCACACACCCCTACACACACCCTCACACACACCGCACAACCCCACACAACCCAATACATCCTAACACACCCCCACATTCCCCCACACCCCTACACACCCCCACATGCCCCTACACACCCCCTACATACCCTCACACACCCCCTACACATCCCAACACACCCTCACACACACCCCAACATGCCCCCACACACCCCTACACACACACACAATTCAGGTTACTTACCCATTCGCTTCTCCGCCACCTTCATGATGTCGGCCTCGAGGTTGATGGACGCACTCTGCCCCCGTGCGTTAGTGGCTCTCACCTTGAGAGTGACGCCCATTCCCGCCTCCAGACCGCGCACCACGAACTCCGGCGCCAGGCTGTGGGCGTAGAATATATGGGGGGTTGGAAGAGCATGTGGTCAGCACCGCGGTGTCTTCGGCGATTTTTATTACCACAAGGTAATGGCCGAACTGTGAGAGGTTGGCAGCGATAGTGAGACTTATAGATGTTATTATTAGCAGTGAATTGTTTCCACATTCTCTTTTTACTCTGTCTTATCCTTTACTCTCTCTCTCTCTCTATTTACATTTCATTTTTCTTCCCCCACTCCTTCCCCTCTCTCCAACCCCAAAATACCGCATCATATCAAACCCGCATCACGAGAGCTGCAATCCTATTATCCAGCATTTAGCGTCAGTTTCCACTCTGCTGTGACGTACAGGCCAAGCTGGACTCGTGCACAAACCCCCCCTCTCAACACACACACACACACACACACACACACACACACACACACACACACACACACACACACACACACACACACACACACACACACACACACACACACACACACACACATGCTCACGCTATCATAACCGTATCAGTCGTGCCAACCACAACCTCCCTTCATGTTCAGTCACCGTAATGGAACACACATTCGCTGTAAAATGTCCGGCGGAGGATGAAGAGAAAATTCAGGTTTCATTGTTATTTCTCGTTGTTAATTCTTCACCGACAGTCAGAACCGATTTACAATATTTTCGTTTTAACCGAATTGAGATAAATAGAGTGCAACGAACAGTCCTTAAACATATTGTACAATGAAAGATTTTCTTTGAAAGAAGAAATCTGAAAATATGTTTTGAAAGACGTACACTGAAAGCGTTGTTCTCAGAGGTGCTTAGAATGATCTACGGTGAAACAGGTACTCTGGAATGTGTACTCTAAAAGAGGTACCTATAATGCTGTTATAAATTTATTTCCCTATTGTTAGAAGCAAACGATTGACGCAAAATTGTTCAGGAATATTAGAGTAGGGATATATAAAGGTTCTTGATAACAGTTCCCGGTCATATTCCCTTGGTGAGAGAATACAGTGAATTTATGGATGCAGACTTAGATTACCGTGTCTTCCGCTGAAGGGGTGGGGCACAGCCAATATATAGAGGGTCTCCAGCAATGCAGGCATAGATTTCGGTCTCTTCAGCAGCACAGAGATAGAATTAATTCTTCAGCGTTGCAAAGAAAGCAGTGTCTTAGGAGTTACATAGATATCGTGCGGTGCTTCCAAGTGCACAGAGGTAGTAAACAGTGTTTTCAGAAGTAAGGAATGAAATACAGTAAAATAAAATGTCTATAAGAAAATATGAGGTCCCATGCAGGCTCCATGAGATCACCTTCAATATAGCACCTTCGATGATGATTCAAGTCTTTTTAAGCATAAATTCACCTAAAATATAAATTAAATTAGGTGCTATTGTATAAATTGTATTTTTCTTATGCACCGGGGGATGAAGGCGTAAACCAAATTTTTGGAGATATATAGTTTTATTATTCTCTCTCTCTCTCTCTCTCTCTCTCTCTCTCTCTCTCTCTCTCTCTCTCTCTCTCTCTCTCTCTCTCTCTATATATATATATATATATATATATATATATATATATATATATATATATCATTTATATATAGAGAAATATATATAGAAATGTGTGTGTGTGTGTGTGTGTGTGTGTGTGTGTGTGTGTGTGTGTGTGTGTGTGTGTGTGTTATCATAATTTCAACACAAACCTGAACTTTAAACAGATCAGCATCGTTACATCCCCAGCAATGTTCACAAAAACAATGTTGAGATGAAAGGCACGCAACTGTGAGATATAAGATTAAAGTGGAGGCCAGCATGTCACGTGGAGGCTGCCACAAGCTCAGAAAGGGCCCCCACCCCCTCCCGGCTGAAGAGTGTATGTGTGTGTGTGTGTGTGTGTGTGTGTATACAGTACAAAGAGCACCACTTTGTGTCCGCTCTACTCTTCAGCTTTACCCATTGTGGTTCCCCGGGTCGCTCATTTGGAAGACACTTTGGTGAGTGCTGAGTGAACTTTGCTTATGGTCACAGGGGTACGCAACACACGTTGATGAAACTACAGGGATATCATGTTTAACGTTTCAATGTTAAACGTGATATCCCAAATTGAGAGATATCCCAAAAAATAAACATGATATCACAAAATTGTTCATTTCAGAACAGCAAATGACGTCTGATATCATAAAATATTCATGAGGATAAAAATGTGTCTTTCCTTGTTAAATAAGACATTTATGAGGCGTTGGACATTTTATTGGTTCCCCTGGAGCTGAATGATTATTGTGTCCGTGGAACTGAATGATTAGAGTGTCCGTGGAACTGAATGATTAGAGTGTCCGTGGAACTGAATGATTAGAGTGTCCGTGGAACTGAATGATTATTGTGTCCCTGAAGCTGAATGATTGTGTCCCTTGAGCTAAATAATTATGGTGATCCTGGAGCTGAGTAATTATTTTGTCCCTAGAAATGAATGATTATGATGTCCATGGAGCTGAATAACTGGTGTCCCTTGGTACTGTATAAGTGTGGTGTCCCCTGGTACTGTATAAGTGTGGTGTCCCCTGGTACTGTATAAGTGTGGTGTCCCTTGGTACTGTATAAGTGTGGTGTCCCCTGGTACTGTATAAGTGTGGTGTCCCCTGGTACTGTATAAGTGTGGTGTCCCCTGGTACTGTATAAGTGTGGTGTCCCCTGGTACTGTATAAGTGTGGTGTCCCCTGGTACTGTACAAGTGTGGTGTCCCCTGGTACTGTACAAGTGTGGTGTCCCCTGGTACTGTATAAGTGTGGTGTCCCCTGGTACTGTATAAGTGTGGTGTCCCCTGGTACTGTATAAGTGTGGTGTCCCCTGGTACTGTATAAGTGTGGTGTCCCCTGGTACTGTATAAGTGTGGTGTCCCCTGGTACTGTATAAGTGTGGTGTCCCCTGGTACTGTATAAGTGTGGTGTCCCCTGGTACTGTATAAGTGTGGTGTCCCCTGGTACTGTATAAGTGTGGTGTTCCCTGGTACTGTATAAGTGTGGTGTCCCCTGGTACTGTATAAGTGTGGTGTCCCCTGGTACTGTACAAGTGTGGTGTCCCCTGGTACTGTACAAGTGTGGTGTCCCCTGGTACTAGATAAGAGTGGGTTTCCCTTGGTACTGTATAAGTGTGGTGTCCCCTGGTACTGTATAAGTGTGGTGTCCCCTGGTACTGTATAAGTGTGATGTCCCCTGGTACTGTATAAGTGTGGTGTCCCCTGGTACTGTATAAGTGTGGTGTCCCCTGGTACTGTATAAGCGTGGTGTCCCCTGGTACTGTATAAGTGTGGTGTGCCCTGGTACTGTATAAGTGTGGTGTCCCCTGGTACTGTATAAGTGTGGTGTCCCCTGGTGCTGTATAAGTGTGGTGTCCCCTGATACTGTATAAGTGTGGTGTCCCCTGGTACTGTATAAGTGTGGTGTCCTCTGGTACTGTATAAGTGTGGTGTCCCCTGGTACTGTATAAGTGTGGTGTCCCCTGGTACTGTATAAGTGTGGTGTCCCCTGGTACTAGATAAGAGTGGGTTTCCCTTGGTACTGTATAAGTGTGGTGTCCCCTGGTACTGTATAAGTGTGGTGTCCCCTGGTACTGTATAAGTGTGGTGTCCTCTGGTACTGTATAAGTGTGGTGTCCCTGACACTGGATAAGGGTGGTATTCCTGGAGCTGCATTTAAAACATCCATGGAAAATCAGCTTTAATTCTGCGAGAGAGACGCCTGGAGATGGATCTCTGGGGTCCTCTGGACACGGGCAGCTCCACAGGGCATTATTGAAGACTTCAGGGGCAAATGTCAACCACTGGGCCATGGTTGAAGAGTTTTGAAAAAAGGTATATTTCATTGCATGATCTTTATTTTTATTGTTGATTAGGCATATGTAGGCACTTCCTATGAAACATAATAGTCATATATCTTTCTGCAATCTTTATTATTTAATGAAATGAAAGTTGCATATGTTCTTTCTTTAGTGGCATATTAATTGAAATACATTAAATTTAGTATTCATGATAACTTTTGTTAAAAAGATATTTCACATTTGAGGTTTTGAGGGAGTGTGGCGAGGTCATCTTTTTTGTCTGAGAACTCACCACAGTTTAATGGGGGTCTGGACAGAAAAAAGAAGCTGGAGAGAAAATTTACAAAGTTACTTCGCCTGCTCTCAGCTCTTTTGAAATGTGTAGAATTGGTGTACTTTATTTATTATATTCTCACCGTTGGATCAAGATTAACATGATGCTCGCTGTTTGACAGCCTTTCAGTAATTATTATATATATTTATAGTAGTTTTTGCATCTCGATTTAATTTAATTTTAAGTTAATAAGTTAATGTACGTTGATTTATAAAGTTGTGTTTATTGTCGGTGTTTTTGTCTATATTTACTAAGAAGGCAGAAGTGAGCTCTCTGTCTGCTTGCATTTTAAGTTCAGTAGTAAAGTTTGCGTTTAGCATGAACATTCAATATATATTTACTTTCCATTTTTGTTTTATTTGTTGAATTACCAGACTGGTTACCAGACTCTCATATTAATATGCGAGTTTGTGGTAATCAGGTGACAATTTTCTACAGTTTAGTCCTGCAATGCAACTCTATAATCTTGTATATGTTAATTAATATGCGTTCTAGGTTTAGTTCATGTATGGCACCTGTTTAATCACCTACAACACATATTACATTACATCATCACAGGATCGGAGACATTTGTCACATGTATTTTGAGATCTGTATCCTGTATCTCTACCCAAGTGTATTATGAGACACTTGGGTAGTTCCCCAAGTGTCTTGCTACAGAACCATTATCTTTGATTTAACATTTCTATATTAAGCTCTAACGTGGAAGTTGACCAACGAAGAAAGTTCCTCACAAGTTCCTGAGATCCACTCAGAAGTTCTATAACATTCAACGGCTGTTGGGTAGTAGATACGTTGTTACATAAACTATCAAAAGTGTGGAACACGTTCTACAAACACTGAGCCATTTTTTTCTACACATCTGGTAATGAAATAAACGGATTTACTGATTTAATTAGCATTTGAAAAATTCAAAACAACTATTCATCTGACAATAAAAATAATTATAAAGAAGATCTAGAGATGCTAAAAATCACGGAATTAGACTGCAGGCTTAAAGGAAAACGTTAAATAAAGCATTAAGCACTGACACTACCATCACTCAGCAATTCGAAGACAAAGAAAATCATTGTAACTTCACTATCGCAGAGTTTCAAGCATCACCCTCTGATATTATTGATAGCCAGTTCTAAAGCTGTAGTAATGCATCTCCACTGCCATTTCCAGCAGCTGTCCCACAACCAGTGGACTCTCTCACCCGTTAACACTTCTATCATTGTCAACACAACAATCACCTCTGCAGCTACCAGACATTTCAGTCAGTTCTACTGGCAGTATTAATTTCACCAACTGTAATCACCACTTCAAGTTACGGGCACAATTCCAAGCTGTGATCAGTGATAAAGGCTGGAAAGACCTCAGGCTGTAACCATAAGTTACATAGCCGCCTGGTGCCAACGACTGCGACTACCATCATGGTAGTAACTCACAACTCTGACTCCAGTCATTTCAACTAGTTGTTGCGACATATTACATATGGCCTATGTAGAATGTTAGTAATCAATATGGATATTTTTACTGTTTATGGAAATCCATCAAGCTGTTTGCATTTGCGATATTCGTCTACTTCGTCCACATCAGCTATACGATGTCCATTGCCAGGAGATGTATTGGACACAATGCTGCCTGCAGGGACTCTTCTCAACATGTGTGTCCACTGCCAGAACGATTACCAGCATTGCCCAAAACTGGCATTAGTTATAACTCACCATTACTATAGCAACACTTTCTGGTTTGTCGGTAAGAACCCAGTTACTACAGACAATTTACCTGATAGCCACCATCTCCCTAGTAGCCTCAACAGGGACAGGAAGCCGGAGGCTCGTCAAAGGTTTCCATTATTCCTGAATAGCAGCTACCTCTGTCAATTGCAGTTCTCATATCCTCTGCCAGTTAAAAAAAATGCGAGCAGGTGCTTGTTTGCTAAGCCGAGCGTGCAGATTTGCTGTTATTGTAATCAACAAATTTAAAATTGTTCTGTTTCCATATTCCATGTATATTGACGCAGGAGTTTTGGATAAGAGAATGTACATTCATCCGCTAGTGTCAGTAAAGGGAAGGTTCACTCACCCGCTAGTGACATATAAGAGTGCAGACTGATACGGGCATCACAATAAAATGATTGACAATAAAATAACGTTGTTCACAAATCATGCAACCAGATGAGGCTAATTAATTCGTTTTATAATAACTGGCAATGCCAGTCAAGCATCAACACGGCCAAGACACATCACTTCATGAACCTTAACATGAGCTAATACCAGAAGGAAGGTGTGATACATTTACTCAAGTCCCAGAAGCAGTAAAAACAATTTGAAAATTACCAGCAGGAAACGGTCTAACATTTTATCTTAAACAGAGCTCCTAGGACTATCTAAGACACTTAGGCCTGTTTCGGCTATCGCGGCTATAATGACTGACAATGCAAACAACAGCTGTTAGGTCCGCCTCTATTTACAGCCAGATTTTACTTAGGGTCCTTCACATCAACAAGAACTATCACAGCCCTGATTTATTGCTGAATATAATTGCCACAGTATTAAACTGAGTTCACTATCATCATCTGCAGACGCAATCACCAGCTGTGGACGGTATCATCGTCTGGGGGAGATACCACAATCTTTTGTCAAATCACCCACTGCGGCCAGAACTAACTCTGATATCACGTAACAATCAGTGTCTGGGCTGTCAGTAATGGAATGTTTTGTTTCATGAAAAATGGTTGAAGCTCTGTCTGACTTATTGGAGAGAGAGAGAAAATAAAGAGCAAATTTAATAGAGGAGAAATGAATAAACAATAAAACAGAGAACAGAGAACATTATTTAGAGAATAGAACATGTATATAATATTTATTTATTTATTTATGCATATACAAGAAGGTACATTGGGAATGTGAGGATACATAAAATGGTAATTACAGTCTTGTAAAGCCACTAGTACGCGCAGCGTTTCGGGCAGAACAGAATATGAATATGGATAATAGAATATGGAGAGAATAGAATATTCTTTAATCAGCCTCCAGCCTGCACTTACCTGGAAGTATTAGAGAGGAGAGTGTCGTGGTCCCAGGCCTCCATAACGAAGTGTTGTGGAAGGCCACCATCGAATCCTGGTGTACACTCCACCACCAGCGCTTCGCTCGTCTGGTTGGCTATGGAACAGTTTTTAGGGGGATCCGGTGGGCCTGCGAACGCACACAAACACACACATGCATTGATCAGTGGTCCACATGGTTACTTTTGCGTCATTGTACATACTATCCGTATCGGATATTGTATCAGATAGATAGTATCTGATACAATATCCGTATCGTGGCACTGAAACATCAAGCGTGTCGTAGAGGAATACTTGTGACGGGTCGCGAGATTAGAATGTAATTCCATCTGTGGCTAGAGAGCCACAGATTGACTACGGAACACAGAGTGTTCCATAATTGCAACGGAAAACAGAGTGTTCCGTCTATGCCATGCCGGGATAGTGATTTGTCATACACATGTTCGCTATGATTCAAAGAGTGTAACTTGTTGTATATTTAAGTCAAGCAACACTTGCATCATACGAAACATTTGCCTCACACACTAACACGTGTCACACGCAACACCTGTGTAAAGATCACGTAATTGCAACACGCTACAACACCTGGAATGCGTCATTACTGTGCCATGACACTGTGATGTTCATCAAGCAACACTTCTACAATACCACAAAACCTGTCAATACACAGGATACAACATGCATCTTGTTGTCACCTAAAACATTATAGAAAAAATATGATTATCATATAGCATATTCCATCCCTTTTGCTTCTCTTTCCACTTTTCCACTTAACTCCTTTCCACTGCGGCCGTTTTCTTCCCTCTTAACTTTAACGTTAATCTCCATATTTAACTCCCTATGTTTTCATCTTGTTTGCCTCCGCTTACTTCAATCCTTTTACTCTTTTTTCTCCATTCGCTTCATTTCACTCACTCTTTCTCATAATTATTTCGATCTTCCTACTTCCCTCTCTTTATTTCCCGTACCTTACCTCCATTTTCTTATTACCCTTCTCTTCCTTTCCCTTATTTCCCGTTACATACTTCCCTCTTCTTATTTCAATCATGAAGATCTTCTTTACTTGTTACACTTGCTTCGTGGCTTTGACTTCCTTAATCATACCTCTCCTCAACGGATAAATCCCCCCCCCCCACACACAATCTCTCAGCATCCCCTATTGTATCATCACCTCCCCCACCCACTAATTTTATCATACATTCCCTTTAAACATATTTTATTCCCCATGATCAAACACACTCCAACACCCATCATCCCCCCAAAAAATTTTTTAGTCAAGATTTAGTTATATTGCTAAAACAGCGCCATTTTCAACTCGAACGTTGGTGCAAGTTTCGTGATCGAGTTCCCACAGAGCGTGTAAATTATTGATGTGAACTTTCCCTGAATATTGTAGTTTTTAGTTCAGTGATAAGGAAATGTCGTCGTTTTCATTGTTATCGCTTTTGGCCTTACCTAATTTTGTTTGTAATGGTTGAGTTTCCGCTCTTAGGTGCTGACTTTTAAGCTTCAATCTAGAGTGTGGTATTTACGTTTGAGTCTTTCCGGGAGTTTACCACTACTAATTTGCTCCTTGGAATCCCTTAAAAGTCAAATACTTGATCTTTGTGTACTCTGTCGATTCCCAAGTATTTTTGTATGTCAAGATCATGGCTTCTATGATACCAGTAACACGAGGCTAACCTGTGGCTTATATGTTGTATTTTTTGTGTTTGATTAGATATGGCTACATGCTGGTGCTGGATATTCAGGATTTGTTTTTTTGAATGCAATTCGTGTTTTGGCTACCCGTGTGTTTGTGTGCTTGTGTGCGTGTGCGTTTACGTGTATGCGTGCGTGAATGCGTGTATACAAAGTAGACTAACGCCTGCACATCGTGATTCCTGTAATATTCCAGTGCTTGTTCTCCATCTTCCTGGTGGAATATCTTTCACTCTCGAGCCTTCATTTTGTGTCTGTCTCTGTTGTTCATGTTTCTCAGTTTAGGTCTTTTGTCTATTTGTGACCTCCTTTCACTACATATTTCCTTGACACTTTACTCCTTCTCATTTTCTCAACTTCTGTTTGAATTGTCTATTTATGTGTCTGTTCAGCCATTCTCTCTTTATTCAATATTTATATTATCTTCGACTTTTCGTTTACATTCCTTTTCTCTTCCTTTCTTTAGCTGTTCTATTTCATGCATAATTTCTCCCTCAGTATCTCATCCTCCCAGTATTTCCCCGCCATCTTATCTTTCTCTCTCCCTCCCTCCCTCTTTCCCCTACCACACCTACTTCGTTCCTCTTTATTACCTCCTTCTTTCCCTCCTAGCTCTACACACCTTCCATTTTTTCCCTGTCACACATTTCCCTTTCCCCTCACTCCACATCTTCTTTTCCATTGCTTCACTCTCCCCGACGTTGATCACCTCGCCCCGGTCATCCGCCGACCCCACTACCGACCCGACTACCGACCCCACTACCGACCCCCGACCCCCACCACCTCTCCAAAACAAAAGCGGAGAGTTGAGTACCGTGTCTCTGACCTGCAGGAATGAGATGTATAACGCAAGGCTCCTTCTGCGGTCCTATCCGGTTGGAGGCCCAGCAGAGGAGAGTGCCGTAGTCCTGCTCCATGGAGGCCGTGTAGTTTAGCATAGAAGACGTGCCCTGGTTCATGATGGATTGCAAGGGCAGCGCCTCTCCTTCTGATGACCCGTTGAATCTCCACGTGAAGTTCACCTGGTGATATACCAAGCAGAAGTTTCGGTTTATGTAGTGTTTTTTCTTGTTGTTTTTCTGAAGGGTAGATCGTAGCAAGTGTTTGGATGAGTTGGTGGTGTGCAGGAGGTATTGTAACGTGTGTGTTTGGTAGAGTTGGTAGGGGATTAGGGGAACTCGTATAGGGTGAGGAGCAAAGGAACCCGTATCGTGGGTTTGGGGAGGGTTAACAGTGGATGGAAGAGTTCGTAACGATGGTTTAGGATGGGGTAGTGGGGAACAGAAGAGCAGCAGCAGAAGGGCTCCTAATGTGTGTGCGTTTAGTTTGATTAATGAGCGAAAGGGGCAGGTTGTATCTCGCGTTTGGGACATTTTGGGAGGTTTACGAGGGCTCATAAGACATGTTTGGATTGGATAGCTGAAAGAGGAATGCTCGTAACCACCACACGCTTGTGTGGTGGTTGGCGAGAGCGAAAGAGAGCTCATACCTGGCGTTCTAGAGGGCTGGCGGTGGGGTAGTGGAACTGTTGCCTGTACTCGAACATATATAATAACAAAAGCCCAGGTGAACGGAAATAATACTAAGCTATATATGCTCACTGGGTTGAGAGCTAACTAATGACCTGCTCCTAACGGGCTGTCAGTTATTTAATGCAGTGACTCCCGACCACTCATTTACTTCTCATGTCTACTTTTGAAGCTGTTGTCGATTGTTGTTGTTGTATGTCCCTCTGATCCATGCTACATGAGCATTACCTTTGATTAAACAATATATATTCCCTGAATCACTGTGGCTCATCTCCAACACAAGTTCTTATCTTTTGAATTCTTTTTCCATTCATTTTGTGTTTACTTGTTTGTATCTATTTACACAAACATTATATTTATACAAATATATATATATATATATATATATATATATATATATATATATATATATATATATATATATATATATATATATATATATGTATATATATATATATTTATATGTAACGTTGAATGGAATAATAAAATATTGAATGGTGTTAATAAAGAATTAAATTACGAAGGTTTATACCTATTCAAACACTTCTTAGGAGTTTTACAAAACTAGAAGAAGGAAAAGCGAGAGGGCAGGGAGGGAAAGAGGGTGATACGGGGAAAGGAAAGCAGAAGGAGGGAGAAAAAATGGACGTAGGGCAAGGGAGGGAGGGCAGAAGGGAAGGATGCAATACTTCTCTTATTAGAAAAGTAGTTCCCGTAGAAGCACAGGGAAGATATTGAGACTCATCAATAAAGGAGAATCTCGAGAATGTGTGGAAAGATTTACCTCAAGGAAGGTAATATTCACCTCAAGAAATGAAATATTCACCACAAGGAAAGGAATAGTCACCTCAGGAAATATAATACTCACCTCAGGGGAAGGAATACTCACCTCAGGGAAGGGAAAAAACCTCAGGGAAGGGAATACTACCCTCAGTGAAGGGAATACTCACCTCAGAGGGAAAGAATACTTACCTGAAAACGTTGAGATTTCCTGACGAAGAAAAAGGACTTATGAACTTACGGGATGAAAATAAATGCTCAACTGAGGGAAAAAAAGCATTTTTACCAACAGGTACGAGAGGCAGTGCTTACCTGAGGGGGAAAGGCCTCCACCTGGCACACCACCTTGGCACTCTCTAGTCTGGCCACCCCCTGCGTCCGCCTACCTGGTGAGCTGCACACTGGCGCGACTGCAGAAGGAAAAACACATAGAATGGACTTGAGAATGGTCCAGGACAGACCGAAACGTCGTCGTTATTTCTTCACTTTCTAGTGTGTGGTTTGGTCTACATATTTCAGCCACGTTATTGTGACTCCTAGTCTGCATCTGAACACATAGAGAGCTGTCACAATATTGTCCCCAACTGTGTCGTAAGTCGTAAACATCAATGAAACCAGATTAAACCACCATTTTTTGGAGGAAAGATGTACAGGTTACCTAAATGGACATTTTAAATGATTGATAAATCACGCTCCCTGTGTTCTTGTAAGTTACCTGTCGCCCGAGACCATATTAATTCTCACGCCAAGAGGTCGTCACTGGAGCTTATATACCTTAGTCTCCGTCACATTTCCATATTACTCTCACGTCAACCTCAATTATGATTCACGCCAGTCTCCTGTCATGCTATACAGCTTCACCTTCCTCACCCTAGTGAGGATCAATAGCGGTAATGAGGAGTATTGCGTCAGACTTATGAGGAGCTGTTTCGTGGCGCATCTTACCACAGGGCAACAAAATGAGTGAGAGCGAGAGTGAAAGAGAGAACGCGAAAGAAAAGGTGAGAGTGAGAGGAAAAGTGAGAGAAAGGGTGAAAAACTGAGGGAGTGAGGGAGTGAGACAGAATGAGAGAGAGATTGAGAGAGAGAGAGAGAGAGAGAGAGAGAGAGAGAGAGAGAGAGAGAGAGAGAGAGAGAGAGAGAGAGAGAGAGAGAGAGAGAGAGAGAACCAGAACAGATTAATATGGACTTATGCAAAATTATTATAATTAATTATGACATAAATAATAATAATATAATTTAATGATTGTATATACTATAAAGTCATCATTGAGAAGGACTATATATATATATATTACGGTACTCGTGGGATTCCTCATATATTACATATCAGTGAAGTTCATTATAATTATTGATAACCATTATATAAAATCGTTAGAGCTCATTGAAGATAATGATTTACAGATAAATGTAGATGATCTTAGATAATGACCCTCAATAATGATGCTCGATAATGATGATAGAAGATCATTAGAGATATAGAAAACAATTATAATACTTGTTTTCAATTATCAGTATTACCGAAAATTGTCCCAGTCTTGACGCTCGTATTGATCACTTGTCCTCAAGGCAATATGCTCGGCCGACCTACTCTAATTTGTCTTAGTGATTGAAGTATTAACACATCTGAGGAGCGAATGATTATTGGTTTTGGATTGCGTGTGTTTCCAGCCATTGGCGGATCGGCTGGTTTTGCTGGAATGATGAAGGAATCACATGTGTTTGGTTGCGTATCTTTGGTTTCAGCCATTGACAGTTGTGGAGATTTTGCTGGAATTGTGTTGTGGGGAGAAAAACGAAAGAATATTGAGTTCAGGATTCGTGTTTCCAGTCATGAGCTGATAGTGATTTTGCTGGAAGTGTTGTGGTAGACACGAAATGAGTCTGGCTGCAGATGCGTGTTTGTGGCCAGGGACTGATATGGGTGTTTAGCTGGAAATGTGTTGCAATAGTCACGATGCGTAGGAAGAGAACTGCTTTGACTGTTGGTAGAGGTAAGAGAAGAGGAGCATTGTCGAGGAGAATATGGAGGTGAGCTCAGATATTGGTGGTAATGGAAGACAGAAATGAAGCGAAAATATTGAGACATGTGTGGATGTTGTGGGACGTCATGTGTGGGAGTTGTGGGACGTCATGTGTGGGAGTTGTGGGACGTCATGTGTGGGAGTTGTGGGACATCATGTGTGGGAGCTGGTGCAGGACCAGCGAGGTGTGGAGGGGTCGAGCATGTGGGAGTCATAGAAAGAAACGTGAGTGTGTTAATGAGGTAAAGGAACCACAAAGTCGTGGAGACATCACGCAGAGGACTTTGGCGACAAATAATATTCGATATCGGGAGAATAGAGCGAAAAAGCTGCAGAGCATTACAGAAGGGTTATACGGAACAGGAAGAGAACAGTTAACACGGGAATGGAACCTCAGCGCGATGTATGAAACTAGAAACAACCTCGTCTGCTCATACTTACACATAACGTTGAGCTTGACTGCGTTGCTGAGCCCCTGACCTTCGTGATTGTGGGCGGCACAAGTGTACTCCCCTGCACGCCCACGCCTCACCTTCTGCAGCACCAGACTGTGGTCAGAAATGAGGAGACCAGCGCTCTTGTTGGTCTCCAGCAGGTCACCCTGTAGGGGAAGAGTAAGCGCCACTGTTTTACTACAGCAGCAATTATATAGTTTATGACTGGTAATATATAACTAAATGTGACATTGAAAAATGAACGTTGTCACATACAAAAAAAACGAGCATGATATGCTTTTCTGTTGACATTACAAATGAACAAATGCTGACAGGACGAGAACAGTTAAAGATACAACGATCGGAACTTTAACAGCCAAAATATGTTTTTCAACTCACCGACAGAAACACTAGGTACAGACAACGACCCAAGATAGCACTGTTCGCCCAGTGAGCCGCATAAAAAAATAAAAATATCTAAAATGCAAAAAACATTCCTAGTCGAGCAAAATGTCCGTCACTACTCGGTTTTATGATGTACCCTTTAGCCGCTAAGCCGTATATAAATAGGTAATAAAGGAAAAATTAAACATATGCAACTCGTTGCAACATAACTCCAGGCAGGTCGTGATTCTGTCTACCCCGAGGAAGTCCAGACGTGTAGAAACTCACTATTCACAGAACACAAGTGGCGCTGTTGAATAATCGTGATGAATCACCAAAGTTCCAGGGATGAGTTAGGTCGCACTGTTAGACATGCCGTCGAGACTAGTTAGTATGAGTGTGTGTGAGTGCGTATAGATTTGCGTGCGTTATGCGTGTGTGTGTATGGCACTACTGGTTACATTTATATTGGTGACTGTGGATTTACATTGCTTTTGTTTGTGCACCAGTATGGATTTATGTGCGTTAACGAGTGCAAGTGCATATGGATTTACGTTCGCTGGTGTGTTTGCACGCGAGAATGAATTTACGTGCGTTGTGTCCTTGCACGAATGCATTAGTATGTGCCGGGGAGTTTATACCAATAGCATTATTAACGTTCCATAGCATCCTTTATATTTTATTTTCACTTTCAATAACTTTCAAAAGTTGTGGAGTTTTCGCCCATTTATTAATTAATGTGGCTTACATTAATAATGAGCAGCAATTAGGATCGTGCAAATTTATACAATGGTTGTCTCGAAAATTTCAATCTTATTTTTCATGTATTAGGTTCGAAAATGGCTGGCTCGATTACAGCAATAATTTTCTTGTGTGAGAGTGATTTGTCGGTTCTTAAGTTTTTGGTGGAGAAACATTTCCGGCATGCGATGCCAATGGTATGATCGTATGTTATATATAGAGATACACACACACACACACACACACACACACACACACACACACACACACACACACACACACACACACTCACGATTCTGCGGATGGTGTTATGAGTAGATCTTTTTAAACACCCAAAAAAAAGTATTTGTTAATCCCGTCTTAAATAATCCGCGACTCGAATCTATTTCATATAACCACTTCAACGCGCTCAATACCACTTGTGCACTGCCAAGACTACTCGACACCTCAACGCTCTCACCACTACTTGGAACTTCTCACACTCACGTCAACGTTCCCACTCCAAGCTGCAGTACTCACAGGTATTAAGAGCTGATATATTGGGAAAGAGAATAGTGTGAACAGGTGTTGAGAAAGCAGATGTTGAATCAGCGGGTGGGTATAATTTTAGTATTGGAAAAAGACGAAAAATCTGATATTTTAGCTGATATAGCAATTAATGATTTGGCTTTAGGGATATCAGGTCTACGGTTGTCAATAACTGATCCTTTGTTCATCTTTGAGTCCTCCGTATATCGTGTTCATTTATTCCTAGGACTGACATACCTCCTGTCAACCATCCTTGCTCCGTCAGGAACTACACCCATCATCCCTGAGTTTTTTTGCAGCATAGGTCTACATTCCCGAGTAGAAACGGGAAAACCCCGTTCATCATGTCCGAGTGTTTCGTAGACGACTTCCGTAAATCTTCGGGACTGCCATAACAAACTGTTATCCTCCCTGATTCTACCGTGGACCAGGTCCATCGGCCTCCTCCCTCTTCCCCCCTGTCCACTACCCGAGGACCTGCCGAATACCCCCATTCATTTCGCCCGGAACCGGAACCCAAACACCATCTCATTAATAGCACTACACACACCCCAACTCCCTCCCTGTGTAAAGCGTTACAAATGATCACTATTAGCTCCGTTTCTCACATTTTTGACCTACCATTCACGCTGCGTTAGTGGTCACAAATTGCTTCTGAAAGCCTGCAATAGCTCAGCATTAATACTCTCATGTCGGCCTGCGCCTGAGCCATGACCTGCCGGTTATCGGAGCTCTTTTATTAAAACAAAATATGTGTAAGAGTTATTTTCCCTGTCACGGGCTAGTGATGAATGATTCATCTGTCACGGTAACTTGGCCAAGAGACGGAGCGAAGCCACTTAACTGTAGTATTAGGTCCCTGTCAGGTGAGGGACGGTAGAGCATGTTTTACCAAGGCAATAAGTCCGCTTTACATTGCTCAGCTTATGAGGTTTTCTATCCTTGCATTACACAGAATCGCCTGTCAGTCTGTCGATAATGGTTTAAGAGTTCGCGCGTTTACGCTCGATTTACCAAGCAATTTTTTTCTGTCTGTTTTCATTCATTATCTTGGACTCTTTCTCTAAATCTCGTAGCAAATATATATATATTATATATAACTAGTCTCCGTGGTGTAGTGGTAAGACACTCGCCTGGCGTTCCGCGAGCGCTTTGTCCTGGGTTCGTATCCTGGCCGGGGAGGATTTACTGGGCGCAAATCCTTAACTGTAGTCTCTGTTTAACTCAACAGTAAAATGTGTACTTGGTTGTAACAACGATTCTTCGCGGCGGGGATCGTATTCCAGGGACCTGCCCGAAACGCTACGCGTACTAGTGGCTGTACAAAAATGTAACAACTCTTGTATAAAATATATATATATGTATATATATATATATATATATATATATATATATATATATATATATATATATATATATATATATATATATATATATATATATATGTCGTACCTAGTAGCCAGAACGAAATTCTCAGCCTACTATGCAAGGCCCGATTTGCCTAATAAGCCAAGTTTTCCTGAATTAATATATTTTCTCTAATTTTTTTCTTATGAAATGATAAAGCTACCCATTTCATTATGTATGAGGTCAATGTTTTGTTATTGGAATTAAAATTAACGTAGATATATGACCGAACCTAACCAACCCTACCTAACCTAACCTAACCTATCTCTATAGGTTAGGTTCGGTTAAGTAGCCGAAAAAGTTAGGTTAGGTTAGGTTAGGTAGGTTAGGTAGTCGAAAAACAATTATTTCATGAAAACTTGGCTTTTTAGGCAAATCGGGCCTTGCATAGTAGGCTGAGAAGTGCGTTCTGACTACTAGGTACGACATATATATATATATATATATATATATATATATATATATATATATATATATATATATATATATATATATATATATGTTGTAGCTAGTAACCAGAACGTAGTTCTTGGCCTACTATGCAAGGCCCGATTTGCCTAATAAACCAAGTTTTCCTGAATTTCAATATTTTTCTAATTTGTTCTTAACCGGTAATTTGTTTTATTAACTGGTAATTTTTTAATGATTATCTTTAGACTCGATTCTTCCGATGGAGGAAGCGTTGATATGGTCTATCTTCCCCTTTGTTTTTAATGGTCTATTTCAAGTCCACTTTCTCTAGAATCTTGATCAGATTATCCGTCCATGCTCTTGTTCTATATTGAAGGTGTCTGTGAAGCGATCTGTGTATGCTATCGTTGATTGACAGTCTGTAGGTGGTTCCAACAAGTTTTGCTGTTATGGTGGCTATTCTTTGTTTGATCCTGTTTTCTAGGGCTGGTAAGTTGGTTTTCATTCTTAGATTCTCTCGACGCGCCCATATAGGTGCTCCCAGCATTGTTCTGAGAACATCATTTTGAGACACTTCCAGTTTCTGCCCTTGGTTATCACTGAGGGATGTGAGAGCAGGAGCAGCATAGTCAATGAGTGACCTAACTGCTTGAACGTAGTACATTTTGAATACTGGTAGAGATGCACCATTTATAAGACTTGCCAGGGAGCACAAGGCGGAGTTTCTGGCTTTACAACGTTGCCGAAGATATTCAATTTCTTGAGTGAATTTAAACTGGCTGTCTATTATGACTCCAAAGTATTGAAAAGAAGTAACCCACTCAGTTTCGTGTCCTTGTATTGCTTGTCTGATGTCTTGAGTTCTCAATATAACGGCCATTGCTTTGGTTTTATTGCTGTTGATTCGATTGGGGTAATTTTCAGTGTTATAATGTTCAATAACCAGCATTCTAATTTATTTATCCACAATGGATTTCGAGATTCAGGTGAGTGAATAATTCAGTATGCGAATGAATGATACAGTGGATGAATGAATGGTATAGTGGATGAGTGAATGATATAGTGGGCCAGAACCTGGTATAATGAATAGATGATCATAGTGAGCGCGCTGCTCATTCAGTATGTGAGAGGTAAGTGAGAGTGCTTCAGTGAGATAGAGAGGTGATGATCATTGATAAAGATTAAGCCACCCAAAAGGTGGCACGGGCATGAATAGCCCGTAAGTGGTGGCTTTTTTGAGCCATTACCAGTATCAAGAGCTGATACTGGAGATCTGTGGAGGTGCGACTGCACCCTGCGTGACGGGAGATGTCTCCCGTGAGATAGAGAGAGATAGCGTGTGGTAGATATACTCACGTTGTGGAACCAGGTAACACGGTGGACGAGGGGATTAGCGTGAATGGTGCACTCAAAGTAGACGTCGTCCCCTTCTTTGATGGCTTCGGGGTCGAGAGCCCGGCCCAGCGCCAGCTCTACCTCAGGTTTGTCTGTGGGAGAAAAACCATCTCTCAGTGTAGAGTAAACTGCGTGAGATTTTTTTTCGTATAAAAAACCTGAATCAATTTTACAGTGTTAGTGGTGTTCATCTTGGGACTTTTTGTATTGTTCTTGGAGGGAAGATTCATGATTCTTCAAATACATTTATGCAAATTATATAAACATACAATTTGCCATATACAACAACATACATTTGTAATTCATTATTATTTTCTGGTTTGTATCTTGTACATTAAAATCTAACAGATTTTATAGTAATTCATTTATATTCGTTATGGTTTGTTTGAGTATATATATGTTGGGCTCTTTATTCAGTAGCTCATGTTAGGGTTCCTCACTCTATTGCAGAGTAAAGTTACCTAACCAACACGTAATCTTACCCCAACTCCCCACCACCACCACCACGTGATCTTACCCGGACTCTCCACCACGTGATCTTACCCCCCACCCCTACTTACCACCACGTGATCTTACCCTCCTCCCCTACTTACCACCACGTGATCTTACCCTCCTCCCCTACTTACCACCACGTGATCTTACCCTCCTCCCCTACTTACCACCACGTGATCTTACCCTCCTCCCCTACTTACCACCACGTGATCTTACCCTCCTCCCCTACTTACCACCACGTGATCTTACCCTCCTCCCCTACTTACCACCACGTGATCCTACCCTCCTCCCCTACTTACCACCACGTGATCTTACCCTCCTCCCCTACTTACCATCACGGGATCTTACCCTCCTCGCTTACTTACCACCACGTGATCTTGCCCACACTCTCCACCACAACACGTTCCCCCACTCACCACAGTCCCAACCAACCCACACAAGGATGCCCAACTCAACGCATCTCCTTCGCTCCAAATACCTCTCATTAACGCCTCCTGGTGTCTTGCCTAATGCTCAGATTACCTCTTAATCCCTCCAGCTATATATCCCAAGTCCATTCCCGTTAATGTATGGTGGATTAAGATTCGCTTTGGCTTAAGAAAGATCCGGACAGATTCCCAGCGGCCTCGGATTGTTTAAAGCTGAAATGGGTATTTGGAGTTACTAATAAATTGGTATTTGTTGTGCAATCAAAGAGTGTGATGTATCTGTTTATAAATATCGAGAGTATATTTAGTGGGGTCGAACCCAGTGTTTGTGATTTGTGAGTCCATGGATGTAGCTCCGATCCCATTGTACCATCTCAGTGTTTTCTTAGGTGATTTTTTTCTTTGAATAATCATTGTATAAACTCTGAATGTGAGAATGTTTAACACCAGATGGTCCTCCTCCTCCTCCTCCTCCACTTCTCAGATGGTGTAGATGAAACAATTATGCTTCCCGGGCTGCTATTTCGTGCGTGGATTATCCCGGTGGACTAATAAACGCACCAGAAGCACGTAAACTATGTTCGCTTAACCACCAAAACGTGAGACTCCATTAGTATCATAAAAGAAGCGAGCAACGTTTATAACACACGCATAGACCGCTTTAAAGCCCACAGGAGTGGATGTAGTACATAAAATGATCCATGGGAGCAGTTCAGGTGTGTATGACCCCCACATTACAAACACAAGCGCCCAAATGACCTTTTTCCAGACCCGCAACGCCCGACTGACATTTCTCACTTTAAAATGTCTGTCTGAATATTAAGCATAGGTATAAACTGAAACGACAGACACCTAAGGGCCGCCTCGTGGGTCCTCCTTATTACAAGGGCTCCTGTAGACATTAATTTTTCCCCCGGAAGACTTTTGTTGGGGCGCCATTGCAGCCAGCAACACTATGCCTGTTTATGCTCTCATCTCAGACACACTCACGAAGAGAAAATAAAACTTTCAAATGTTCCACCTTATTAAACCATTAATAATGACAGAATGGAGAGAAACTATAGCAGGAGGAGGAAGCAAATAAGAAGGTCTAAGAAAGATTCAAAAGATGTTTTGTGAACCGTGTAATTAAAGAATACATATTTTTATTGTATTTTTCATTATCGCTCTTATCTGAAAAAAAAGATTACCCACGACAAGCAAGCCCCACCCCAAAATATTTTGCCGTCCTGACACAGCCCGAGCTTTCTAAAGAGGTCATTTTTCGGCAAAATAACACGCCCCGCAAAAAAAAAAAAAAAAAACACAACCTCCTTCTCCCCCTCTCCCCCCGGCCTCTCTAAAATTCAGGCCCCGCCTAAATATTCCAAATTAAACCCACAGGCTGACATAAGACCAGATAACACACCAAAATATAAAATATTGCTGGAAACGTGACAATACAAGCGACGCAGATATCTTCCGTTGATAGCGATAGAACTCCCACTCTTTACATTTCTACATTTTTGTCATCGACAGAACACACACCAAAAAAAAAAAAATCTGGCGAAATACGTAACTCAACGAACAAACAAAACTGAAATGGGAAAAAATGAAAAAGGGCATAAAATGAAAACAATAAAACACACAGTAAAACACCAAATCACACACACACACACACATACAAACTCGCATTTGCCAAAAAAAAAAAAAAGCAAGCACATACGAAAAACTCAATAACATAAAGCACAGGCAAAAAACACAGAAGCGCAAACGACGGGGACAATTTTCGCTTCACACCTTCCGAGCGGCAGTGAGGCCCGGCACACATTTTACAGTTCAACCCCCTTTTATTTCCCGTGGCTGGATGTTCCCTTTATAAAATGGATCTAACCTGCCAATGGCCTCCATCCATCTGTCACCCGCGAGGCCCGGTTCCCAGGAGTCTGATACCTCAAATTATACTGAATGTGATCAGAAGGATTATATATATATATATATATATATATATATATATATATATATATATATATATGATATATTTATATATATGATATATTTACGATCCCCTTGGGTACTGGGCAATAATCGAGGATGCCGCGACCATTTCTCAATTGTTTTATCTCCATAAGACATTGAAATAGAAAACAAGATGTTCAAGGATATTTTATTTCTGTAAACCTTAGTTATTTTATATGACTGTTTCCCCATGATTGGCGGCAGAATCTGAGTGACCACGAGAGAGGGAGAAGCATGTGACTGCCAAGTTGTATAGACAAGTAGTCCCACATCATATGTCTGCCATTCCTCTATGGGCGTAGTGTAATTCCACTCTGGTCGGCAGAATTATGGGAAATTGGAGAATTAGGCTCTCTGCTGTACACAGCAGGAGCAGAAATAAGGCTCTACTTAAGAATGCTGTTGACTTCGTCCTGTCCTCTGTGCCGTCCCTTAGAGTTTCCACAGTTCAGACCTTGCAACCCGCTATTCATCTGCTTCTATCACGCCAAAAATACACTCATATACAGTGTGGACTGGGACAGCCAAGCGGAGGGCCACTACAATAATGAAGTACTGGGCGCCAAGACGTGACACAGAGGGAGATCTGTACTTAACCTTTTACAGAGGGATCGCCAGTAGGAAAGCTCCTGCGTATGTACCACACAGGCCTGTGATGCGAGCATAGTCACTGGATGCTGCTACTGTTTCCATGAGAGTTGTAACTTCTTTGTTCGAAAGAGGGTTCTTCCAGCTGGATTGTTTGTTGGTGTTTGATGTGATTGGTCAGAGTGCAATAGCTGCTAAAGTGTCCCATTTTGTGTTGCAATGCGTTATATATGTAAATTGTATGAGGACACATCACAAAGTGATGAAACGACAATGTTTCTTCACTTTCTGTTGTGTTCTTCACTTTCACTTTTCTTCACTGTTAAATTGTAGTCCACTAATTTGAGCAATGTTATGCAGGGTTATGAAATTACAATTTCAATATTTTCATATAGTTATGTGTGGTTATTAAATTAATATTTTGTTTAGTCTGCATATCATAAATATTGAAAATATCATTCAATAAATTACAAAATATTTTAAAATCTTATTATGGAAATTGAGATGGATTAAATCCACCTACACTCACGATATACTCGTATGCATATATACATGAATATGCATAGATCCGAAGACAGTGCTCCTCTCCAGACGCAGAATTCTCGTAGTCCCTCCAGAGATGGTGTTGTGAAACTCTGTATACATGACGGGAAGGGATGTTCTGTCTAAAGTTTAAAGCTAACATGAACCTCGTGCAAGCGGGTTGGATATCAGTTCTAGGATCTTCATCATTAAACGCCAGCTTTCTGAACGCTCAGTAAACTCTATGATTACTTCTTCTATAAGAACCCTGATATTGTTTAGATATAAGTAAAATTTCCATGACACAAAACGATATCAATGTGCAGACGATGAGTCCCAATAACGTTGCTGAATATATAAAGACTAAACCACACACGAGAAAATGAGGAGACGACGACGTTTCAATACCCATCACAACAAAAATAAAGGAATTATATGATTAGCAGTTCGTAAAGTCCAATGTAAAGATGAATCTTACAACGGGTTTTGCTGAGTGATGCAGGGCCAGGAGTTCGTGTAAGCGCATAGAATGTTTCCATAATAAAATATAGCCGAACTCTTCACACTAAGAACCCTCACCCATCTATACATGTGATCTATGTGAACTAACGTGTGATCTAACGTGTGATCTATGACCAGATCACTCGTTAGTTCATCCTCCAACGAGACAAACAAAAAGAACCTTCTCCTTGCACCACGCCTACTCTCACAGCCGACAAGTGAGAATACAGGGTAAGATTATCCAATCCCAACGACTGCTTTACTATGTGCATGTAATACATAATACTGACTGCACAATTGATTAGCTTCATTGGTGCCCTTGAAGACACTGAGGTGTTCCTCAACGAAATGCTTCAATTACTAACACGGATCAGACCAAATAAAAGTGAAAATTGAACTTACGACAATCATTGTTTTCACATTTATTTCCAAAAGAAGACGAATTTTAGAAATATATAGATGATCAATGTTGACCAAACCACATACTAGAAGATGAAAAGACGACGTCGTTTCAGACGACGACTCTAGTATTCTAGACTTGAGGATCACTGTTCGAGTCATTG